TCATAACAAATTCCTCCCAACAAAGACCAACTAGATGTTCCAGACTGACCTGGTTGATAGACCTCAACAAGGGTTCCGCTTCAGGGATACAGAGGTCTGTACTCATGTTAGAGCCAGCAGCAAAGGCTTCCATGTTAGGAACAGCCTCAAATTACAGACAAAATCAGATTTTCACCAAAGTGTACTTGGATCATGATACCATGATCAATGAAAGCTGCACCCCTATACCCCATTTCAATGAGATCATGAAATCATGGAATTTGTGTAATCTTTACACAAGGGGGATAAGAAACAACAACAGATGTTCCATAGCTATCCAGTAATTCAATTGTAGTTTGAGATAGGTTAGTACAAATTAGCTTTGAAATCAGAGGAAGCTAATTGGTCATTCTGTATCACTGAATATTCAAATAAACTATTCATAGAAGAAGAAATTTTTAAAATGTTGAGAAAAAAGTAAAAATTAAAATGTATATATCATCCTTACAGAAAAATATGAAGAATATAAATGATAAAAGAATATATGGGTATATAAATTTTTTTTTTACAAAGTTATATTTACAGATAATTTACAAATGGATAACTTGGTCAAATATATAAAAAGATAGGTGCGTACAAATAACCAGTGAGTATTTTAAAGGCACTTCTATGTAGAATACTCCAATCACTTATTGGGAGAGAATAAACATTAGATGGTGTTTAGATGCCAAGAAATTCCCCATACCTATACAGAATATTGCATTGGGCTGTTATGCCTATATACTGATCTCTTAGAAAAGGTATTTTAAATTAACAATGGATATAAGCTTTGAGAGGACACAGAAATATACAGTTAAACCTGTCTATAGCACCCTCTCTTGGGACTCACCAAAATAGGGTGTTATAGAGAGGGGCGCTATAGACAGGTTCAACTGTATATATGTGGGTATGCACAAAAGAGGTAAAAAGTATATATAAGAGAGAAAAAGATCATGCATTTAAAATGATAAAAAAGTCATTTCCTGATTTGGTCAAAACTCATTAAATCAATTTTCACAGTTTATTCCAATAGATGATACTCTTGGCATCTGTAAAAGCTCATTTAAAAGGTTAAGAAATGCCATTTTCATCAAATATGACATAAAAAGTCCATTAAACATATAGGTAAACCCAAGATCATATTTGTTGGAAATAATGAAGAAAATATTCAACTTTATTTACAGTATTTACAACCAAAAATTATTTTTATACACCCACAGAGCATTTGTTCTCCATTCTAAAAAAGAAAAAAATTCCAAAGATATAGAAGGATAGTAAAAAAATATACAGTTAAACCTGTCTATAGCGCTTCCTCTTGGGACTCAACAACAACAAGCCTTTATTTAGGGTCGCTGACCCTATACAGGATTCACCAGAGGTATGCATAAGAACAAAGGAAAAAACG